CATCTAACAATACCTAGTCATCAAACAATACCTAGTCATCTAACAAAAACTAGCTCTTTAACAATACCTAGTCATCAAACAATACCTAGTCATCTAATAATACCTAGCCCTCTAACAATACCTAGTCATCTAACAATACCTAGTCATCAAACAATACCTAGCCCTCTAACAATACCTAGTCATCTAACAATACCTACACTTCTAACAATATCTAGCCCTCTAACAATACCTAGCCCTCTAACAATACCTAGTCATCAAACAATACCTAGTCATCTAATAATACCTAGCCCTCTAACAATACCTAGTCATCTAACAATACCTACACTTCTAACAATATCTAGCCCTCTAACAATACCTAGCCCTCTAACAATACCTAGTCATCTAATAATACCTACCCCTCTAATAATACCTAGCCCTCTAACAATACCTAGTCATCTAACAATACCTAATCATCTAATAATACCTAGCCCTCTAACAATACCTAGTCATCTAACAATACATATAGTCGTCTGATAATAATTGGTACCACTTAGGTGAAGGACACAGTCATCGAAAGGAGCAACTACGACTTGCTCTAAAATGGAACCGAGTGGATTTGGCAAGAAGGCTTTTCACCAGTCACATCCACATCCCTCCCGAATCTCTGGAGGAATTCATGACTGAGGCTCTGGTGATGAACAGAGTAGAGTTTGTCAAGCTTTTATTAATGAATGGTGTGGTGATGAAGAATTACCTGACAGTCGGTCGTCTCAGACAACTTTACAACACCTGTATCTATGTACGAAAATGTTTATTATTTGTATATTTACAGTTTCTACCAGTAGTTGTATTGTACCAATAAAGAAGATAATTTATTATAATCCAAACTTATTGACGGTTTTAAATTTGATATAATTTGTTTATAATATAAATATTTGTTAATTATTTTCTAATTATGTGTTTCAACTCTGACCAGTAGGTGGAGTGACGTAATCATTGATTGTTCTAGCTTAATTGTTAGGTTTTCGCTTTTTCTAGAATGAAATATTAAGTAAGTTTGTATATAGGATGAGGATGGAATACAGTAGCTCCATATTACTAAACCTGTGAGAAAGTCAGTTCATTAATAATTAGTGGTGTCCAGAGTACATTTCAATCTCATCTTCAGGATCCAAAGAACCCTTTGTTACACCTGTCGGAAATTCTTCTATCTTTATCCAAATGTAATGGAAGAAACATCATGCTTTGGGATATACACCTTCTTTTGCGACATCTGGTAAGGAGACACAAATGTTACCATTACAACGACAAGCCCGAACAAAATTGTGAACTGTCCTTTCTGGTGGGTTCAGACGAACATTTCGATAAACCTTTTCGTGAGCTATTTTTATGGGCGGTGCTGATGTTGAGGTAAGTACAATTCGCATCTTCAACTTCTATATTGAAAATTTTACAGTGACACCGATAATTGATGATTTAGGAAAAGTTTAAAGTGATACTTAGATTTGAGGCTTTAGGAAAAGTTTACAGTGACACTAAGAGTTGAGGCTTTAGGAAAAGTTTACAGTGACACTAAGAGTTGAGGCTTTAGGAAAAGTTTACAGTGACACTAAGAGTTGAGGCTTTAGGAAAAAGTTTACAGTGATACTAAGAGTTGAGGCTTTAGGAAAAATTTACAGTGACACTGAGAGTTGAGGCTTTGAGATATTTTACGCGAACTTCTCTATAAAGAATGCTGTAAAACGGCTTGATGAGCTCTGGTATTGGGCGAAAAGCCTTGTCGGCACTAAATATGGCAGATGTAACATGGCTGATATGCTGCAACATATTCTCTCTTGCTTTCACTCGTGGATTTTTAGAATTCGTAGTGTATTATGGTAAAGCTACTAAGAATATTTGCAGCCGTATATAATTTTGACGTACTGACCGCCAGGTAGCAGCACCATGCTAACAGATTGCCTGCCACTCTTATAACATGCTCATAGTTTAAACTACGAGTAATATTTTGTGGTACCGCTCACATTAGAATCCGGCTCTCCAACTCCGATATCGAGAACGCTACCACGGAGTCTACCCGAGCTCCGACTGTAGAACTACGTACATAGCGTCAAGCAATAACGATGTAAATGGCACTGACGAATGTTTAGAGTTTAAAATTAGTGTAGTGTATGTATTAAATGTTGTTCTAATTGTTTGTACACTGGAGTATTTCTTTCAGACGGACGTCATCATGATTTTCTATCGAAATTGAGGAACATATTTTAACCCATATATCTGAGCTTTGGCGTCTGGGAGAAATTGACTTTCACTTCAAAATATCTTAAAGTATAAATTTTATAAGACTCTTTTAATATTAAGATTTTAAATGCCAAAAGCCTGCGAAGCAATGAAACTAATAGGTACATAATAATATTGATAGAAATCACACTAGACAGCAGACGTTTCATTCAGGTTACATTCATCTTCATTAATCCGTTATGTATTTCAACTAGATGCACATTCATCTTCATTAATCGGTTATGTATTTCAACTAGATGCACATTTATCTTCATTAATCCGTTATATATATTTCAACGAGATGCGCATAAAAATAATATTTTTAGTCTATTAATTTTGTTTGTTGCATATTAAGTGCCCAAGAGGACTTTCGTTTAATAGCAGAACTCGTCAACTAAGATATTTTTACATCCCTCAAATTTGGAATTCGTAATGGACTACTTAAGACGAATGGAGGAAATAAACACCTTTTTTTTCTTCAAATCACTAATATCAGATCTAGGGGTTGTAATAAATCTTCTCTTTAATAATCCGAGTCGTATGTGTATCTCGGCATGTCATATATTATTGATTGACAAATAAAATTGTATGTTTACCAAAGGATTCTCAGCTTTTAAACCTTGTAGCAAACGTCCACAATAGTAGTTTATCTTTAAAAACAACAACTTATATTTAAGCTACTTTGCTCCTAACTGACATCTATAAATTGATATTTTTATAAGCACTTAAATTATTTTAACAAAGCCTAGTCAAACTGAGATTCTACTGTTTACTATATTTGATTTATTTCTAAGTTATATTTATTATTTTTGTAACCGATTTTTCAGGAAAGAAATGGCCATTTATTTCTGGGGTGAGGCACACGAAGCGTTGAACTTGGCGTTAGCTGCTACATCTATCTATTGGCATCTAAGAAACTCGACGAGTATTCACGCTGATCTCATCCTGAACAAACTAGTGTTGTTGAAAAGTGTGAGTTTTAATGGTCAGAATGATTACACTGAACAAAATAATGAAAGGTAGTAATTACTTTAGGATAAAACTTTTTTTTTTCGAGAATCAGGATTTAGGGTTTCGCAGAAACCCGTGAATAATTTGTTAGAAATAAAAACACTTATTTCATGAATCAGGAACCAAATTTTTATATCATAACTAATCAAAATGGCAATATTTTGCTACTTGCATACACTTTTTCTCCAAAAGTCATGTAGTCACAGAAGGAAGTCCAAGTGACCACTATCCAAGTGCGGCGTACCGCCATCCTTGGTCTAAATAACAACCACTTCTACTTCCGATTTGTGCCCCCCCCCCAGTGGCACAGCGGTGTGTCTGCGTACTTACAACGCTAGAAACCGGGTTTCGATACCCGTGGTGAGCAGAGCACAGATAGCCTATTGTGTAGTTTTGGGCTTAACTACAATCAAATAAACTTCCGAAGCGTGTACTCTTCTGGTTGTTATTTCAAAAGCTAAGCCAATTGATGTATATGTATTTGTAAATATATTTGCACACACACACACACACACACATATATATATATATATATATTATATATATATTTGTAAATATAGATGTAGATATATTTTAAACAGTTAAGAACTCTGAGTGAGATATTCTTGAGGAGTTGTTAAAAAATGGAAAATTTTCAAATATATTCTGTCTGATAATACTGTCTTTCAAACAACGTTGATAGTTTTACTTTGAAATCAAGTAAGAGTCATAAGTGGTTTGTGATAAGGGCCTAGAATATTGGAACAACACTTTGGAATGCTGAACAAAAAGCTCTATCGTGGATGACGGATATCCATAGGCATTTAGAAGTCCAGACGTTTCACGGCTGTGGTTCGCACACACACACAAATCAGAATTTAGCACATTACACATTATTTTATAGCTGACACAAACACACACATATTCCCGTATCTGGCTCTCAGTGTATATTAATCCATGGCTGAAACATAATAACGGCTGTATTGTCACACAGCCTGCTTCCTGCCCCCACTTTAAACTATCACTTCGGCAATGAGTGAAGGGCTATCCTCTCGTTCTTAATGTTTTCTTAATAATATATGTGTTTCAAGATTTGCACATGAAAAACTTCTTATTCTTGAGTTGTAAAGAAAAAATCCAAAAATTCTATTAGTGTATTTTCGTCATGGCAACAAATATATTTTATGTTATAAACGCTTTTAATCTTTTGTAGTTTCCCTAATTTTGAGCTGACATACTAGAGGTAAGGCAGCTACTCAACAGCAATCACCGCCATCTTTTGGGCTAATCATGAATTATTGAATAGTAGGAATTGATCGTCATTCTTATAACGCACACACGGCCTCAAAGTGCGAAGCGAGTTTTTGCTGCAACGGGTCGTGAACCATGAATTTCAGATTCACAGCCCGATCACGCTAACCACTAGGCCTCGCCTGCCCCAAAACGGCATACATCTAACACAAGTAAACTTAAATAATAATAATAAAGACGTATCAAATATTTTCATCGTGAATACATTTTTTTAAATATTTTTAAAAACATCTATAAAGTAATCAGAGGTATAATTGAGTAATTCTCGTTATTTTTCATGGTGGACAACTAATAAAATATATTTCCTAGTACCCTATTGGTGTGTTTAGGTGATCACTTCTAGTTGAACTTGGTGTTCTATGGTTCGTATTTGTAATCACGTTTATTTTCCAGCGTTATTTAGCAATCTACTAAATGTGGGATTGTTTCTTCTTTGTAGAAGTGGATAAAAGCTTGAATTGTGGCATGTGTTTTAAAGTTACAGACTCAATAATCGAAAAACATAACACAGTCATCTGTTAGTTTAATCTGTACACAGAATAATGAACTTGAATTACAACAACAGCAAAACATGTGGTTGTAGTAAATACGTTCGGAAAATGAATGTTAAAATCAAAATTAACTTGTGCTTATAATAGTGTCATTCACCTAAGGTTAATATATATATATATATATATACACAAAGGAATGTATATATATATATATATAATCGAACCTGGATTTTAGCATTACATGTCCGTAAACTTACTTTTATTCCACTAATGCACAGGAATGAGTTTTCATAATTACAAAATAAATGTTATTTAAACCCACTAGTTTTACCCGTAGTTATACAATGAGTGGTAGAGGCCAGTAATATTTTACTTTAAATGAGACCGAATTGTCGCAATAACAAAACAACCCTTCGATTCGAAAATGAAAAAGTAAGCTTTTAGATTAGTGATTTCTTTCTAATTAGATAGTAAGACCAGCGAGTTTTACATCATTTGAAAAAATAAAATTTTATATTTCAGTAACAGTTTATTAGGTTATACGTTATTATTCTTTACACTCTATCAGTGTATATTTTATCACAACTTACAGCTTTTGTAGTAAGGAAGAATATTTTTCAAATAGGTACGACGTTTCGATTATTGGCTCGATCATTCTCAAGTACACAAGAATGCTCGCATCAGTGATCGAAACGTTGTCCCTGTTCTTTGATAGACTGTTTAGACAGAGTATTCTACAACAAGCAGTTGCCGTCCATTCATCAAAGTTTGATCGTTGTACCTGTTTTTAAAATATTTCGTCTTACTGTAACACCTGTAACTTCTGATAAAATAATACTAATAATCAGTTAAGTAAACTGAAAACGAAACTATTAATGTATGTTTTTGTTTAAGCTGCTTTTTTTTTCTGCTCGTGAAGGACTTCGAACAAATAGCGATTGAACATCTTAACATATGTTATTCCATGAACCGAGAAAAAGCTGTCGAACTGATTGAACACCCAAACTGCTACTGGGGAAACATGACCGCTTTAAATATCGCTTTATCCTCTAATGATCTCGTAAGTTGATATTCTTAAGTCCAAGTTAGTTAATGTCATGATATTTTTGGTTAGTGTTATTAAATCCTTTAGTGACATTATTGTACAACAATCTTATTAGTTTAATGAAAGTCTAACGATTTTTAGACATAATGGCATTAACGTTTAAGAAGTTAATTAGTTAAAGTCATTTCAGTCCGAGGATTTTTGTAGTTAAAGTCCGACGATATTGTAAGTTAATGTCATTAAAATGTGACAATCATGGTAGTTAATGTCAAGAAAGTCTAACAGGCTTGATGGTCAATGTCATTAAAGACCAACAATTTAGTTAATTATAATATCATTGAAAGAGTTAAAGTTATAAAGATGCGACGATATTGTTAAATAATGTCATTAAAATCCAACAATTTTATAAGTTAATATATATCATATATTGCAACGGTCTTGTAAGTTAATGACTTTACATTACAACGATTTTATAACTTAATGTCATTATAGTACAATGATTTTATAAGTTACTGTCATTATAATATAATGATTGTGTAAGTTAATGTCATTATATCCGACGAAAGTTAATATTACTTAAAATCCACAGACTGATTACGTAATTGTTAATTAATTACAAAGTTCAAGTGTCAGTTGTTGTTGTTTTTTGTAAAGAATATAAAGACTGAGGTTTTATCATCAAGTAATAGACTTTATGAGTAATTTTTGTTAAAACTTCGCAAAATATTAAAATAATTTTTGAAAGCCCAAGTAATCAATTAATCACATTCGCAGATTCTAAGATTGGACTCTATGGTTTGTCACATTAAAGTTGGACTCTATAGTTTGTCACATTAAACTTGGACTCTGTGGTTTGTCACATTAAACTTGGACTCTATGGTTTGTCACATTAAACTTGGACTCTATGGTTTGTCACATTAGACTTGGACTCTATGGTTTGTTACAGTAAAGTTGGACTTTACGGTTTGTCACATTAAAGTTGGACTCTATGGTTTGTCACATTAAAGTTGGACTCTATGGTTTGTCACATTAAACTTGGACTATGTGGATTGCCACATTAAAGTTGGACTCTATAGTTTGTCACATTAAACTTGGACTCTATGGTTTGTCACATTAAACTTGAACTCTGTGGTTTGTCACATTAAAATTGGACTCTATGGTTTGTCACACTGAACTTGGACTCTATGGTTTGTCACATTAAAGTTAGACTCTAAGGTATGTCACATTAAACTTGGACACTATGGTTTGTCACAGTAAAGTTGGACTCTATGGTTTGTCACACTGAACTTGGACTCTATGGTTTTTCACATTAAAGTTCGACTCTAAGGTTTGTCACATTAAACTTGGACACCATGGTTTGTCACAGTAAAGTTGGACTCTATGGTTTGTCACACTGAACTTGGACTCTATGGTTTTCACATTAAAGTTCGACTCTAAGGTTTGTCACATTAAACTTGGACACCATGGTTTGTTACACTGAACTTGGACTCTATGGTTTGTCACATTAAACTTGGACTCTGTGGTTTGTCACATTAAACTTGAACTCTATGGTTTGTCACATTAAACTTGGACTCTATGGTTTGTCACATTAAACTTGGACTCTATGGTTTGTCACATTAAAGTTGGAATCTATGGTTTGTCACATTAAACTTGGACTCTATGGTTTGTCACATTAAACTTGGACTCTATAGTTTGTCACATTAAACTTGAACTCTATGGTTTGTCACATTAAACTTCGACTCTATGGTTTGTCACATTAAACTTCGACTCTATGGTTTGTCACATTAAAGTTGGAATCTATGGTTTGTCACATTAAACTTGGACTCTATGGTTTGTCACATTAAACTTCGACTCTATGGTTTGTCACAGTAAAGTTGGACTTTATGGTTTGTCACATTAAAGTTGGACTCTATGGTTTGCCACAATAAACTTGGACTCTATGGTTTACCACATTAAACTTGGACTCTATGGTTTGTCACATTAAAGTTGGACTCCATGATTTGTCACGTTACAGTTAGACTCTATGGTTTGTCACACTGAACTTGGATTCTATGGTTTGTCACATTAAACTTAAACTCTTTGGTTTGTCACTCTGAACTTGGATTCTATGGTTTGTCACATTAAACTTGGACTCTGTGATTTGTTACATTAAACTTGGACTCTATGGTTTGTCACATTAAACTTGGACTCTATGGTTTGTCACATTATGTAATAACCTAGAGAGTTGAATATCTTTATAATCACATAAATTGAACATGAATAACTATGTTTAAAAAAAACATTTTTAGGTGTATCGTGCGATTTGTTTTGTCGCAAGACGCCTAAAAAATCGGATAACTTTATCTTAGCTCTTCTTTTCCACGTTTATTTATAATACACATTTTCTTATTGAAGGAATTTATTTCAAGCCCATGTTGTCAACATTCCATTACTCAGACCTGGATGGGCGGATTAGCCACTGTTTCTTGGTGGAAGGTACGCGTTTTTTACATATCTTAAATTCTTCTCCTTAACTTCAAAAATTTAGAAGATTCGTTAGCGGACACTTGTTTATCTTAAAAGCTTAGAGATAATTAAAAATTCTGGGTTTCCATTAGTCTCCTTATATTTAAGGTTTTTGTTTTGTGAGAATTCTGTTGAAATGTGTTAAAACAATTGGAAGGCACAATGAAATTGTATGATGAAAAGACCCTAAGACTAAAATTCACTAAGAACCATAATTTACACATTTAAAAACAAAATAATAATTGATTATACTTTTCAGTTTGTTGTGAACGTAATTTAAATTTTTGAATGAGATAAATCAGTAATTTCTAGAGAGAATAAACTACCACTATATATTTTAAATAATCTGGTTGGTTCTGTAAAGTATAGGTCTGTTCCGAATAATATGGTTGCGATTAAAGTGGGTTACTATCTATTGTCAATTTCTTACTTGGTGGGGTTTGTTGGTGTATATTGACAAAAAGTCATGATATCTAATCAAAAACACCTTAGGTGTGAAAAAAAAAGTGCGCCCAAAAAAGAATTGAGCGTACAACTTGAAGGAATGAAATCAAATTTGTCGGCCAAACTGGTAGCTACACTTATATCATTGATAAGAATTTTACAGCAAATATTCATACATTAGTTAGCTAGTTATATATAAACATACATACCCAATTTTCTTTCACAAATTTATATATATATGTGTGTGTATGTATGTATATATGTATATATATATGAGTGTATTTAGATGTCCGTTATATTAAGTATTTTTAGTGGAACATTACTTTTAGGTAAACGTGGCCCTTTTCAATCCATTTCTTATATGGACTTACTTGAAGTTCCGGAACGACAAAACTACAGAGAAACCCCCTGGGTTCTTCAACAAAGCTCGAATTTTCTACACAGCACCGATAACAAAATTTTTCTACGATTTAGTAAGTAGAAAAACGTTAGCATTCCTTTATAATCTGTTTTTTTATTATGTAAGTAGATACAAGAGTTATTAAAAATATACAGTTTTTCAGATTTTGTGAATATTTACTTATCCACGGGCTTAGCATCTGAGAGAACAGAAAACAACTCGTCTCCTTCTTTTGTCTCTTTCAGTATTCATACATCGCCTTTCTAGGAATCTTTTCCTACGTGGTTCTGTTTGAGTTTTACGAAACTGTTGGTTTCTTCGAGTTTTTACTGCATATCTGGATTCTTGCCTTGGCTTTAGAAGAAGTCAGAGAGGTATATTGTGATCAACTGTTTCTGTTTTAAAAAAATTGTACAACGAAACCACTCTTATGTTAATATACTATGAGGTTTATAGCATGACTTTTATTAACTCAGATTAAGAAACAAAGTCTGAACAAAAACTAGTTTGTGGAACTTATTTTTATAGACTCCCCTTGCCTTTCTGTTTGATCTTGAGAGGACCTTTCGGGTTCCTTGTAGAGTCTTTCATCACGATCATTTTAGGATTACCATTTCAAGCATCGTCTGCTTTTCAACCCAGCTAGTTGAAAAAAAATCATCCAGAAGGAATTTCATATAAAACTAATTTTTGAAAAGTCGTTACAGTTAGTGTTACTAAAATCAAAGTTGTAATTTTCTCATGGAAGCATTATTATAATTAACCCACATAGCCCCGTACAGTATGCATTTTAATCTTAATATATTACTTTTTCATTTTAAAATGCCCTCCCCCCCCCCCAGTGGCACAGCAGTATGTCTGCGGACTTACAACTCTAGAAATTGGGTTTCGATACCCGTGATGGGTAAAGCACATATAGTTCATTGTGTAACTTTGTGCTTAATTACAAACAAACAAATCATTTCAAATTGTGATTCTAAAAATACTGAATGCAAATTAATAAACAAAAAAATAATAATTATTTATTTGGACTAGATTTAATACATAAATAACCAATTAAAAAACAAATTTAATTTATTATTTTTTTATTTCTCACCAGATCGTGACCTATCCTTCGGAACGGAAGTTACAAAAACCCAGAGAATGGTTTCAAGAATATTTTTGGAATAAAGTGGACGCTGTTTGTATGGTCTTGTCTCTTGTTGGAGTCTTGTTAAGAACCATCCAACAAGTTATAGGTAGCAATCAGTTATGGGTGCGTGTTGAAGATATCCACCTTGTGATGACTATCAGTTGTACCTTATGTTCCGTTCGCCTGTTCAAGAGCTACATGGTCAGTCTTAGTTTTGGACCCAAGCTAGTCATGATAAAACGCATGGTGAGTTGTTTGATGGACACCTAAACAGTTTTTAGATAAATGTTTTAACGTGTTTAAAAACACTTGAACGTATATTGTTCTTTTCAACCCGCCTATAGAAATCACTACAAATACCTTTAAGTCACTTTCAAAGAGGGAAAGTGAAAACTACTGAAATTATTTTTTATCAGAATCTTATGTAATAATCTATGTTATAAAACATTATCACCTCAATGAACTGAACAAAACTCAATATTGCCTTCTCATAAATGGACAAACCTGTAAATTAATCATCTTAATCGCATGAAAATTCATTCCTAGATTTATATCAAAACTGATCAATCCTGCAATGATTTATTCTCGTTTTATTATCGCCCAGTGAAAATTAAGTAGATTTCGAAATAAAAGTGGTAGTAAAGGCCTACCTTACAAATAGCCAATACTGTACACTCTGTTGATGTGGTATCAGAATAAACTACAACTGGTGAAGCCTCAAGTTCAAAGAAAAAGAGTGGTATGAAGATCATCATAAGCGATCTGAACCGCTATTTTTGGGAAATGAAACAGGAAGGGAACAGTATCTGGTATACACCAAAGTTCTTTGCTGGACGCCAGCAGTTGTTAATAAATGTAACTGAATAATACGACTTCTGTAAACTGTTATAACATGGTAAAGCTGCTGTTTATTACATCAGCAAAACATGTGCTAGCAAATGCAATGATTGCAGCTTGTGAATTTGAGAACAGTTACGACAGATGACTGGATCAGATGAGTCATCCTTTTTTCTGTCAAAATAGACACACGTAGTAATGAGTTCAAGACAGCATAAACCACGAGTGCTTGGCTTCAACTGGCACATACTTAGTTGATTGGTATGAGTTTAAACAATTATTACACTGAAAGGCAGGATAACATCTATTACAGAAAGATTATGCCATTGATAATGGTGTATTTCAAAATTGTACAAACCTTAAGGGCAAGAGTTTTTGTAAACTAATTTATCGAACATGGATAAACATTTATTAATAATCGTTGTCATGGTTAGCAGCCTATATGATCACCTAAACCTAATTATTAATTAGTTACTATTTTTATTTTATTAACAATATTAAATTACTAGCTACTAATTGCTAACTAGTTTATATCCTATGTTTTAGCTACTAATCTGCTGGTGTCTTCACTAAAATATGTTGATGATTAGTAGCGTGGCCACGCACAGTGTAGACAAGACTTTAAAATTCACGACCCAACTGAACCAACAAAAGTCAGTGATACAATTTACAATGGAAAAGGAAGAAGACAAAAACTCCCATTCCTAGACGTAGTGTTTACCAAGACACATAACTCATGTAACAAGGAATTTACAGGAAACCTGCGGATACAGTAAATACCTCGACTGTAACTAAAACCACCTTAACGGCGAGAAAACTACAGACACAATACAATTGTAGTTATTGGACAACAGACCACCAAAAGAGCCTTTGGAGAGCAATAACATTATTTAAAACATCTCTTGTGCATATGGATTCCAATATCTTTCCAAACAAAACGACTGGCAAAAGTTAACATTCAGGAGCATTAAATCCATAAAAGACTGTAATAACAATCTAACTGCGATAGTCCATTTTTCCACAGAAGACTATACAATAAAATGGAATAATGTAAAATTACGGGGCATGAACGAGAAGAAAAATGAGTCTCCTACTGATAACACACCCAGTCAACTTGGTGCAGATTCAGTAAAACTGTATACCCCATCTTGAAAATATTCAAATTCTAATTGGAGGCACCCAAGAAGATTGGATAGCACACCAACTTTTCTGTCAATTTTTGATTTGGAACACTCGAAGCCTTGTGCAAATTTATACCTGGGTGTTGATTTCTCTAGCAGGGTCCGATCAAAGAAACTTGTATCTGTTTCTAGTTATACATTTCTTGGAATATTTTTATTCAGCGAGTTTGCTGGATATAAGAGAAATTTCTACTGTATACGGAAGGAAACTAAACATTCTGCCCTCACTCTTCTATTGGATATTTCCTATCAGACGTTCTTAATGAAACTTATAACCTTTTTTTCTGTATCATAATATTTCTGGACAGAAAGATATGGTGGGGCATAATATGGTTGCCTCTCATAATCTTTAACACATATATACAATAGTATTTTATTTTCAATAAGCTGATTTGAAGAGTGAATGGATGAGCTTCTCGTATAGTATAAAGGAACCACTTTAACCTTCTCAAAGGGTATATTGTATCAGAAATACTAAAGTCTAAAATAACCACTTTAACCTCTCAAAGGGTATATTGTATCAGAAATACTAAAGTCTAAAGGAACCATTTTAACCTTCTCAAATGGTGTATTGTATCAGAAATACTAAAGTCTAAAAGAACCACTTTAACCTTCTCAAAGGGTATATTGTATCAGAAATACTAAAGTCTAAAGGAACCATTTTAACCTTCTCAAAGGGTATATTGTATCAGAAATACTAAAGTCTAAAAGAACCACTTTAACCTTCTCAAAGGATATATTGTATCAGAAATACTAAAGTCTAAAAGACACCTGTTGTATAAATAATTATATTTCTCTACCATCACAGCTTGTGGAAGTCGTCTTGTTTCTCCTCATCCTATTCATCTTCATTCTGAGCTATGGTGTAGCTAGTCAAGCTCTTCTTAAAAGAAATCGTCAACCTTTTATGGGAATATTTAGGGAAGTCTTCTATTTACCCTACTGGCAACTGTACGGAGAACTGAACCTGGATAGGCTTGAAGGTAAAGTAGTTTTTGATTTTTTTTTACTGAAAGCATAATCTAGACAAGATTAGAGTTATATTAATTAATATTAATAGGCTTGATAACCTTCAATGATAACGTATTTGAGATAAAATTGTAGATTAACGATGAGCTCGGTTTGAATTCTTAAGCCCGAGTATCTCCGTGTTTTTTTAGCTTCGGGTCCTGCCCGACCTGAGGAAGAAGAAAACTCTATTCGTTTGACTACTTCCATTTCGAACATAAGTATTTTTTTATGTTTGGTTATGTTTATATATATATATAAAACTGTAAAGAGTAGGTTTGGTCCTGTCGACTCCAAGTTTATTGAAACAAAGTTATGATCGGACTTGGCTGACTCATCTCCTTACAACACATAGTTGGTTTCATTGATAACATATGTTATAGACAAGTCTGAAAGTATTCTTATTGAATTAATAAAACAGATACACTTATATATATATATGTACATGATTTCATAGCTAATGTAAGTTAAGTATAATTATTCTATAAATCAGTCAAGGAAAAATCTAAGATACAAGTCTGTTCAAGAAAAGTTTAATCATAAAACTTTTATCATTCTAAACAATTATCATGTCCTACAACAAAATCCCTGGTATTTCGTCCTGCTTAAAAATAAGAACCTTAAACCCCTTATCTCCCGAATGAAGACTCACTCGAAAGTATTTTTGCACATAAAGACTAGAATATCAATACCACCCTATTTGACCCATCCTGAGGAGTAATTATTTAACAATATTTATACAATATACATTATAGCACTACTTGATATGTTATCCGATCATAATGTATTTTATTTATTTATCATAAAATGCTCCTGCCCCCCTTTCTCCCCAAACGTTAGGATAACCTAACTACGTAACCGTTGTGTGTTATACTTTTAATAACGTAATAAGTATGGAAATAAGAATATATAAAGACATCTCACGTTTTACTTTTCAAGATTTTTACTTGAACTGCTCGCGCGAAGAAAGCAGATGCAACGAAAGTCCTAACGCCTGGTTGGTTCCGATCATGCTGGGTGTGTACATGTTGCTTGGAAATGTTCTTCTTATCAACCTGCTAATAGCCGTTTTCAGGTAAGAAACAACCCTCATAAAGGGTTCTTATTTGAATAGTGAAATTTATTGCTGGGTGTGTACATGTTGCTTGGAAATGTTCTTCTTATCAACCTGCTAATAGCCGTTTTCAGGTAAGAAACAACCTCATAAAGGGTTCTTATTTGAATAGTGAAATTTATTGCTAGGGTGTGAACATGTTGCTTGGAAATGTTCTTCTTATCAACCTGCTAATAGCCGTTTTCAGGTAAGAAACAACCTCATAAAGGGTTCTTATTTGAATAGTGAAATTTATTGATGGGTGTGAACATGTTCTTATAAACCTGCTAACAGCCATTTTCAGGTAAAAAACAACCCTAATTATAGCTAATTAAATACACTCTTCTTACGTTCTTGCTCATATATAGCTAAAAATCGGGTTTCAACACCAGCTGTTGGCAGAGCACGGATACCCCATTAAGTAACTTTGCGCTTAACAACAAACATACAACATTTTCTTACTTGTACATATTAGAATACATTGTTTCATCAGTTGTGTACCCTTGCTGTTCACGATAGTTTCTGACCGTAAACCCAATAGTATCTCACGAGGTTAGATCAACTTTGGATATTTAGGTTAGTGCTAAACACATGTATTAAACTAACAATGCTAAACAATTTTTATAATAAAAGTATAATAATACTAACAATTAAAATTAAAAATAAGAAAATTAGATATATTAATCATCCTAACCTATCCTGTTAATGAAAGTAACAATAACGAAATAATAGAGTATATCTTACTTATGGAATATATAAATACGATCTGTTGGTATTAAGTATAGTTGTAGATTTAATGTTTACTGAACAACGTAACGTCAACATAACCATGCATAAGCAGAACTTTTCACAAACCTCCTTAAAAATGTCTTTTAAAGAGTTCCCGTTGTGTAACTTTAGAGGAGAGTAGCATCTGAGATAAATTGCTACAACACATATTTAAGCGTATAGTCAGGTAGCATGATATTATGAAGAGTACAGCCAAAGATGCAAAATAATGAAACACATTCAATGAATACCTGAATCAAACAATAAATATTCTGTATATATATTCTATAAGTCTTCTATATACACCAATATGAACTACAGAAATTAAATAATCAGATTATATAACTTGCGTTGTTTGTGTTCGGTTTTCGAATCCTGTAATCCATTATAAGCTACGCACCCTAAACTTATCACACACTAATTCGATGACGAGGAACCCACTTTGAGACTAATAATGGCTGGAGACGGCTTAAATGGGTAATGAAGAAAAACTTTAATATAAGTTTAACATGACAGCAAATGTACAACGTTTCGACAAGGTTTTGTCATCATCAGGTACCGTCTCCAGCCATTATTATCACACACTATATGCACTAGAGAAAACGTCGATGCAGAGATTGCACACTTAACTCAATGCTTTACTAACATAAAGCAATTTTCTACTACAGTAGTTACAGAAACTATTAATAAATTAAAAAACACACCAAAAATACAGACAAGACACGTTTAACAAACAAACTCAAAAAATACTCTACAAAAACAAAGGACACCTAATTCCATATATAGAGAGTATTAGCACACCTATCAGAAATTTGTAAAAGACTTGCACATAAATATAACTTCAATATAACGACTAGATTCATTTTCACCCCTGGAATAAAAATTAAAACACATGTTAAGAAAATTATATAACGATCTCACTCCACTAGGAAACATGTACAAAACAAAGTGTAACAATTGCCCAGCCTTTCACATATTTGAAAAAGGACGTAACTTGGATATCAGATTAAAAGAACGCCAAAAACCCCTTTCGAAGTTCATGAACATATGAACAAAAGCAACCACAGTTTTTCTGAACGGAATGTTACCATACTGCCATTAACAGAAGAAATATCAGAGAAGCTTTATTAATATAATCAAACAATCCCACAATTAACAAATACCCAATAACGTCTCTATATATCCTTGATATTCCCAGATATTCCTAATCTTATGCAAATATTTCGTATAATATATTCCAAAATTTTCGTATTTATTCACTTTTTTTTCTGTTCAGCCATAATTAAATAACCTGTAAGTTCACGCGGATTGATATGCACAGACATAAGTAAACAACCATCAGTTTTAGAATTTAAATACATTGTTAGATCATTGAATGTTTATCTAAGTACTAAAACCTGTGTACTGAGAATGACTGCACCAGTAATTGAAACGTTGTACATGTTCTAAAATGTATTCTTTTCACTGTAAAAGCTGTAAGTAATAATGAAATAATGTTTATAATCATTATGTAAACTGAACACGAAACTATTAAAGTCTTGTAATGTTGAACACATTTTATTGTATCCAATAAGCTGTGAGTTATAAACATTGTAACATAACTTATTTAGGATGTTTATATTTGAAAATGGAAAGTTTGTATCTACAAAGTTGAAATTGTCTGTTTTAATGAAGGCTTTGAACTTGAATGTTTGATTAACGATGTTGCTATCGAAATCCAGATAGCGTGTTTTGTTTTTAGGGAAACAGCTTTTTCCAGATTGAGCTCCGGTGGATAAATCTGTCAAGGAAACACTGGTAATTAGGTACAAAAATGTCATCAATATATCTACAAGCGTTACTGATGTCCAAAGATTTCCTATACTCTCTCTTATCAAGATTTGTTATACATGAAAATTCTAGTTCGATTTGTTTGTTTGTTATTAAGCGCAAAGCTACATAATGGGCTATTTGCGCTATGCCCACCACGGGTATTGAAACCCAATATTCAGCGTCATAAGTCCAGAAACTTGCCGCTGAGCCACTGGGAGGCATTCCCGTTCGAATGAATATAAATCAGTGAATATAAGAAAAATTCTACAGTTTTGGTGTTACAATGATAAACTTGATGACAACTAAATAAAACGACTATTATTTTGCCCTTTCGGATTACTTTAAACTATAATACTATTAAAATACTTGAATTATGCAGACATCAAACTTCAACGAACATTCAGGGTTCGATTCCTACGGAGAACACAGCACTGATAGCCTTTTGTAAACCTTTGTGCTTAACAACAAACAAAAAGGTAAAACAAAAACAAAAAACAACACACCCACACATATATATGATAATTTAAAAACATTCACCATACCGCAGTGGTTTAAGTATACCCCGCAGCCCCCGCAATTGCGAGGGGGGGGGGAGGCTCGAGCCAAAAGGGGGCCCATAGGGCCTGGCAAATTTAAGAATTGCCGACAAGAAAAATAAATAAAAGGGCCCAATCACTATGTCTGGAGTTTTACTTGAAACGTTGAACCTAATCAGAGAATATGTTTTTCATTTTTTCAGTCACGTGTTTGAAGAAGTCAACAAACATTCTCAGGAAATCTGGAGGTACGAGATGGCTTTAATCGTGGCGGAGTTCACACGGAAACCGACACTGATTCCACCTTTCGTTATTCTGGAACATATTTACTTAGTAATTAGCTGGTTGTGTAGCAAGATCAGGAACCGTCACTGCCGCGTGGGAGACAGTAATCTGTGTGGGTTATAAATGTTATTTTTCAGTAAATCTACCTCTTCTATGATAAACTTTGTCTCGTGTGTAGATTCGTTTTTCTGTCTCATCGGTCCCGTGTTTGCTTGGAACTGCATAATTTACCTTATGATTACAACTGAATATTTTGATTTTTATTCTACGTTTTTTTGCTATTTTTTTCTAGTAAAAGATATAGAACGTTAAAACTTTTGAAGAAATGGTACTACGGTTTTACTGAATAAGAACGTAACATGATTTACCTAAAGGTAGAGTGCCGTCCAAGACAAATCAACCACCTCCTCCTTAACGAGATGTCCTCACCAACAAGTACATAACATACGTATAATCATACAACGCTTTGTAATAATGATTTTGACTACTTAACACCCTTTAATATAAGTAATGAGTATAAATATCTTTAACTTTATTGTGCTTTTATTGTAATAAATGACAATTAAAATTAAGATTTTCATTTAAGAAAATATGATTCAGCGTATTCCAAATGTGAAAACGGACAACAATGGCTTTAAAACAAAAATTTCACACTGTAACAAATAATATGATAAAGATACAATGGTCTTGGTATCTTTGAGAAAGATACATTAAATTCACATATGTCTTTGAATTATTGTGACAGCTCATTTAACATATATTTTTACTTAGTAAAATCTCAATTAAGCAAGGAAGAGGAGAACGTCGAACACCTATGTTTGTTTGAGAGAGAAGGCAGAGCCAAATTTCTGAGGAGTAGATCATCTGACGAAAATTCCGTGGAACATTTGGCAGAAATGTATAGAATAACGTAAGCAAATATACGGTTGAATATAATGAAATACACAAATAAATATTGTTCTTTTCGTTACAAGGAAACTATTTGCCAGTTTTCTGAACTCTGACAGAGAACTGGTCAAACAACAAACTGAAACAATAAATAGTCTTCCTCTGTTATTATCACTAGGGTCGAGCACAACCCAGTGACTAGCATGCCGAAGCTCCGTGGTCCGCGCCCCATTATCGCCAAGAAACAAAATTTCGTTTGGCACTTTAGGGCCTTCGGAGTGTTATAAGAGCGACGGTCAAATTCAAATGAAGTTGATGCTTATAAAGTAATTAAAAGTGGGAAGAAGAAAATACGGGAATTATATGTCAAACAACTAAAACGTTGCTGAACTATTAGGCGGAACTTTTAATTAACGTTCAGACTCTGCGTAAAAATATTATAATGTGCGTATTTGTTTAACTCAACACTTAGCAATGAGAAGCTATATAATGGCACAAAACATGACTGCAAGATGCAGAATTTTGCTAGTAAACTAAAATTGGTTTATTTTACTGACAGAGATTGTTTGTTTGAAGTTAAGTACAAAGCTACACAATGGGCTACTTGTGCTCTGCCCACCACAACATATATCGAAACCCGATTTCTAGCGTTGTACGTCCGCAGACATGCCGCTGTGCCACTGGGGGGGGGGGGATAATGAGGAACGAAAGCTTCCCGGTGTCTCGGCAGTAGGCTTGTGGGCTTATAACGCTAAACATCAGGGGTACCTCGGTGGGCACAGCTCATGTAGTCAGTTGTGTAGCTTTGTTCTTAAACTCAAACAAACAAAGTAAAGAGAAATATGTAAATAATGTTTTTTTTGAAATGTACAGTATGTTTCTCCGTATAGGATACCATGATCAGTTCCACAATTTCGATCTGCTTCAAATCCCATTAACCCAGCTGGATAAATAATAGTCTTTCGGTGTGACAAACTGTTTGATGATCATTTTGTTAAAAAATATTAATAAACATGGTTTATTTTACATTTCAATTTAAAACCCCAGAAAATAAGCAGATTATAAGGCTTAAGCCTATTTTTTCTTTGTAAAAAACCACAAAACTGTGCGTCCAATCAAACTCTATACTTACGTTTATGTTCCTTTTACATTTTCAGTCTTCATTGCGTGTTTTGTTATTGAACAAACCAAAATATTCATAGCCTTGTGATCTCTTATTCTATTTAATTAGCTCTTTTTTTTTCTCAATAGAACTGATGACATAAAGAATTCGATCAATGAGATAAAGGATGCTATTCACGCTCGAGCTGTGTCTCAAGCACCTATTCCATTTCGGCGCGAGACAGCTTTCCTGTCGACTGCTCCAAAGCCGACGCTTCGCAGTAAACCTACACCTGTACAACGTGGATCATCAGAAGAGAATAGTTTACTATATCGCGAACTATTATGTGATGAAGAACCTAAAGATGAGGAAGATGATGATGATGATGATATACCTACAATGGAAACAGAGGAACTGCGTCCAAAATTGAGCCTAGTTGATCAAGCTCTTAATTCTAGAGTTTCTGATGAAAATGTAAATCTTTTAATGGACTTGAAGTCAGACATAGCTAACTTAGAGAGTAAACTAACTACTTTGGAGTTAACAATGGCAGACATGACTCATCATTTAGGAACTCTCAGTTCAAAGTTAAATGATATTGTTAAATCTTAGTTTTAGAATACAGTGATTTTCAACTCAGAGAAGCATAGACACGTGGGTCTTTTAGTGTGCTAAGGATTTTCACTGATGAAATATGTTTTATTCTGTTGTTTACTCTCTTTTTTTCTCTACTCAACAGCACAGGTTCAGCATATATCATATTTTTATCGTAAACAAAACAGACAAAAAATTGTTGTTGGTGTTAACCTTGATTAATGACAACTTAGAATTACTTTAAGTCCCTTTTATCCTTTATATTCGTAGGTTTCTGTGTTGTAAAGATTCCAGATTGTTTTGGAGAATATTTTAACCTGAGAGATGACTGAAATAGAAGGTAACGTATGTGATCATGTGACGAGACAATTGTGTTCAGAAAACGGAAAAATAAGTTCCTTACGAGTATGTTGTTTGAACAATTGATAATACTTTAGAAAAATCCTCGGAGCCAAATGTAAAGTCTCACTTTTAGTGGAAAATTGAAATTGAATTTTTTTTAAAATTTATAAACTCTAATTAACGACAAGAAGAAATCCTAACACACAGTGAAATGTAGGGAAAAGATAGTTTCTAGAATCGTGAATTTCGAATAGTTTTATGTGTTTGAAAACATAAGTGTTGATTTGACAGTTGTACAAACGTACATTTACATACCAATATTTAAAAGTAGATTTTACATAGTGATTACTTTTCGCCTATTGGCTTCATTTTTTGAAGTTATTTCATCATATTTTGAGGCTTCACTTAGATATAAGCACTTGATTAATTTTTTTTTTTTTTGTTAGCTCATTTCGAATTTTATAATAATTGTCTGTATTATAGCACAAGATGGTCACACATACCTAACCTGGTGTTTCAGCTTGCTCACACACACGAGCTCAATATTGTTATTATATTTGTCACACATTGTATAATGGTTTGTCCAAATGCCTACATTAGACTGGAAGTGTATAAATTATCTATCTAAATAAATGATGGTGTTTTCAATGCTGCTGTATTTTTTTTTGTCCGAAGAAAAGAAGAAGCCCCCTCAGTAGCACAGCGGTATGTTTGCGGACTTACAACGCTGGACACCGGGTTTCGATACTCGTGGTGGGCAGAGCATAGATAGCCCATTGTGTAGCTTTGTGCTTAACTACAAACAAAGAAAAGTTAACAATTTAACATGATAATAATACGTTAGGACATAACGCTTGTTTTGTTTGTTTGTTTTTAACTTCGCGCAAAGTTACACGAGGGCTATCTGCGCTAGCCGTTCCTAATTTAGCAGTGTAAGACTAGAGGGTAGGCAGCTAGTCATCACCACCCACCGCTAACTCTTGGGCTACTCTTTTACCAACGAATAGTGGGATTGACCGCCACATTATAACGCCCCCACGGCTGAAAGGGCGGGCATGTTTGGTGTGAGGGGATTCGAACCCGAGGACATAACGCATAAAAAATATTTGTTTAGAATTGATTAAAAATGCGTTCCTGGTTTGAAAGATGGTTTAGCGTACTCTTTTTTCACTTTCAAACAAATTAGCTGCGTTTTTAAATTAAATAATCAAGTGCTTCACAATTTATCAAAATATAAAAACTAAATTATATTATTTGATTAAATATCAAATGCGTACTGTCAGTGTCGTAGCCAGGACGCACACATTGACGGCACAATGACAAACTCAAAGGGCGCGAGTACATTGTAATCATTTTCAGTTTTCGTTATAAATTTTTGTTATCATTTATTGATGTTCCTTATTAATTCATAAGCGAATTCACTCATGAAAAAATCTTTGATATCCGACAACAAGAGCTTAAGTTAGGTATGAACTGGTTATTTAATCAAAACAGAAAGCACGAGTCAGTCTTAGGGAAAGATGATTGGACCCTTGTAATTAATTAAAGCAATGTATACCAAGTCCAAATTTTATTATTAAGACAACTGTAATTGTCTATTCTGAATAGAATTGAGGTCTCTCAATATCTTATGCTTCCGATCAACACTCTTACATACATCATCAAGGATGCACTTCTCAAACCCGATGAGGATCAAGTTCGCCCGTCTTTCATGAGACATCGACTGACGGAGGTCTGTAAGCACATTTGTCAGAGCATAAAAAACTCTTTCACATATTGCAGTTGATGATCCAATTATTAATGCTGTCTCATACAGTTCTGTAATGGCTGGAAAACCCTTCGATTTCAAATGGAAAAGCTGTTGCAAAACAGACACCAGGTTATGTTTGTCGTTTTTCCTCCAGTGGTCACTGATGTATTTTTTGGCAACATCAATTTGAGCCAAAACAAAGCTGTCCATTTCAAGGCAGATCAAGTCTGCGAGAAATCCCATTCGATCTTTGTCCAAGAAATGTTCTGATTCGGGATATAGTGACTCCATGGCACGAATAAGATGCGAATTTTTCTCCGAGAAACGTTCATCAAGCCCAACCAGGATACTGTCAATTAGACAGAACCACGATCGTTTGAGGTTATCATTTTCTGACAAATTGGTGTTATCTCTGTGCAGATAGTCAACGATGTAGTCTTTGAAACCAGAGTTTTCACGACGTCTTCTCTTTTCTGCAGGCTGATGGTCTTATACTGTTACGCTGTTATCATCACCTGCAGTATTTTGCAGAATCAGCTTAACTTCATCCAACAAAGTGGTAAATGTTTCATCGGTTCTCAACAAAGCAATGGATGCTCGCAAAGATGATATCAGCATCAAAGCCTGCATCAGATTGATACTGACTGATTGTAGATGAATGTTGACAGATGCTAGTATACTCAATGCTTTGTGGACAGCTACAGCATGGAACAGAAAGGGTTTCTTTTTGATCAGCTTTAACGGTCCGATTGCCTCCACAACTAATTCAGGTAAAAATGTGTTATTCTCATTTGTAGCAATGCTTGACAGAATCGTCAAGATAGCTTATGTGATCCAGTGATGACTTTCACAGTAGCTAGGTGGCCAGTCCACCGCTGTTCCAACAGTCGTTTCAGTGCTTGCCCAGTGTAGTGAACAGACACAGTTGGCTTACGTATGAAGTTGTACAGGATGTTGCAAGTGCCAAAAAAGGCTTCCACTTCAACACCTGCAGCCGAAATCGCATGCACAACTACAAGGTATAGCCGGTGGTTTAGGCAGTACACGTAGGGGACAGATCGGCTCAGTTTTTCCTGGAGAAGTTTTTGAACACCCCCAGATCGTCCCGATATCACACTAGCTCCATCATAGCATTGGCTAAGAACGTTTTCCAAACTGAAGCTATGCTCTTGAGGTATTGTTATGATGGAATCAGTCAAGGAATGTGCATCAAAACTGGAAACTTGAATAACTGCAAGTAGATGTTCAACAATATTTCCGTCTTGTAAGTACCTCACACATAAGCACAGATTTTCACGGTTGCACTTATTACGAGTTCCATCCACCTTTATTGTGTACTTATCACCAACTTCATTTCGGATTCTTTGCTGGATAGTTTCTTCACTGTTCGATGAGTGTATACAGTTCCCTTCTTGCGCAATAATTCACTTCCAACACGAATAATTTAGTGTATTCAACTATGCTCTTGTCTTGTGTACACGTTGTCTAACATTCAGTTGTAATTCTTATTCTATTAACAACCGAACGATTAACGTTGCATCGATCAAGAACAATTTATTTGGAATCTGAATAATCCACGTCAGCGGTATGCAGCCGTCGATGCGATAAAAACACAAAAGCCGAGAGCATAAGTACAAATATATTTTATTTTATAAATATTGATTTACAGCAACTATTACTTCGGGTACCTAATATTTTTATATATGAGTACATTGG